GGGGGGGGGGGGGGGGGGGGGGGGGGGCTAAAATCTTGGCAGAAAGTATTTTCTGCCAAAATAAGACGTTCACAAACAATGCGTGTTTCTTTCAAATGGCATTATCTCAGCTAATCTTTAATACAAAAACAAAAAGACAAACTATAAATGAACATTTCAAATGAAAATATGTAAGTTAATCTTCATTACAAAAAAAGACTTAATCTATAAATGGAAAAAAATATTAAAATAGATTGGAAAAATGTTCATCATCATCATTTTTCATTTGATCAGTTTCCAAAAACAACGCTACGTTTCGTGATTTTGCACGTCCTGGATTTTTCACGAAATCTTCAACAATAAAATTGACAGCATCATCCGTTAATTGTATATCAAGACTAGATAATTTCAATAGTATTTCCACCGTATTATCGCTTAATCGATTTCGTAACCAAGTCTTTATTCGTCGCAATGTGCTGAACATACGTTCAGCTTCATTTGAACCAATAGCAAATGTTCCAAGTATTTGATAAAACCGAAACCATTCGGGACACTGTTCACTACCAAACTTTGCTAACTTTGACAAGATTGCTGGAATCGTGGTAATACCTTCAGTAATTTTAGAAAAAGCATAAACGTCATCTTTTAAATATTTTAAATTCAGTAAAGGTTGATCTGTACGTTCATATATTTTTCCATCGACACCTTTATGTTTATAACTAATTGGAGATGTATATTTTTGTATTAATGGATTATTCATTAAATCTTCTGGTGATTGATTTGATGGAGAAGAAAACACACACAAGTTTTCAATTATTTCCTTCGCTTCTGCATCAAAGCGATTATCTAATGATTCCAAAACATATTGAACAAAATCATTTCCCATCTTACGTAACTCGTTTTCATCTATATCAGTACTCGTTGTGTGTTGCTGCAAACGTGTTGAGTGTGATGTTAATGTAACCACTGGAGAAAAATCTTTGATATTGTTTAATGTAGTTCGAAACTTGATAAAATCAAAATTATTCATGGCTTGTGAGATTGTTTCTCGTGCAGCACTGACATTTAAAGCAAACTGATCTAAACATAAACCACGCTTTTCAATTTGTCTTAAGAACTGCATGGCTGGACGAAGGATGTCACGTAATAAATGTATTTGGAAAGCAACTACTGGTTTCATTAAGTCTGTTACATAACGACGTCCATCAGAAGAACCATTACTTCTTGATTGAGATATTGTTGATAAAGCTAAAATAATTGCTGAATAATGGTGACAAGCAAATTTCACAATTTCATAAGAATAAGACCACCGAGTGATGCTTAGTTTAGGCACTTTGTGTCCTAACAAATGGAACAAATAACAACAATTATTATCTTCAATATGATAAATTCATACCTTTTTTGCTTGAACTAGTCAGTTTTTGACTATTAAATAGTATTTCAAGTCTATTCGGATTATCACTCAAAAAGATTAGTGCCGATTTAATTGTGTCAAATGCATCATAAAAAGAATATTCAATAGCATCTTTGACACTAAGATTAAGTAAATGAGAACGACAGTAAATATATATCCTCCATGCCGATAAACGACTTTGAACATGACCTTGAGCTTGAAAACGCATACAAGCTGCCCCATCATATGTCTGAGCAGTAATAACAAATTTTTTACCTACCTGCTTCTGTAAATTATCAATGAATTCTTCCACCACGTAGAAAATACCTAATCAATTTATGAAAACAACTTAATCATAAATTATTAGACAAATTTATTTTACCTTCACCACTTTGATCATGTATAGATTCAAGTTTGAAAATCTCTTCTTTAATCATTCCATTTTCTTTTTCTATATATCTCAAACAAATACATACCATTGATTTGACTGATACATCTTTAGTTTCATCAATAATTAAATTAATAAATTCTGTTTTTTTAAGTGAGGATATTTGTTGATGGTTAATATAATTGTTGATACTAATAAGCCATTCAGATGTAGCCTCATGACTCCAGTATCTATAGATAAACACAAAAATGAGAGAGACATCACCTTATCATTGTTAAGTTTACCGTTGTTTTACATTCGATAAATTTAGCCATTCCACAACGCCTGGGCATTCGACTTTATGCAATAATTCTACGAAGGATTTGAACTTCATGAGAGCAATCTCTTCTTTGATTATGAACCACAATGTTTGGAGAAGAACACTTAAATATTTTTTTGTTTGATTTTCTAAATTGACGCAATTTAGCTGACCAATAATATTCCCATTATTCTTCACAATTTCAGCTGCTATTCGTCGTGCTCGACTTTCTCGATGTAAATCACTATTTTGATGTTGTTGTATACCTACAAAATTCAAACTTATATTGTGTTTTCTGTGAAAAAAAATCAAGTCAAACCATGTAATCCCTTATGCTTCAATTTCCGATACGGTCTCACGATAAAAGCTCCATTACTTCGTTCAATCAATGTTTTATTTGTTGCAAATTCACCACAATCCACACATAATAATCCATATATACCGTTGCTACACACAGCTCGAAGCCATAAATGATCTTTAGAAAACCAGTGTCGACTTGGTTTAACTTTTTTTTGTTTATCTTCCGTGAACCACTGTATAGATGGATACTTTTCTCGTTGAGCATCAATAAAATTTAATTCTTGAGTAGTGATAAACTTCACACCTTCAATATGATTAAATGTGACCAATGAATGAGCTGGAGTTATATTTCCAATATTTGGTATTGATAATGGTGTACAATCCACATCACTTTCGAATTCGTTTTTCTCACTTTCATTATCAGTTGTTGTTTCAGAATGCGACTCATTACCATTAAGCTGTGCTGGACTGAAGCCTTCAAAAGATTTATCTGAAAAGAATCGCATAATAATATAAAACACTGTACAATACTTTTTTCATACCTTGTTCACATGTACTTGTTTGCTTGATGCAAGACAGAATATTATTAATGGATGGTGTTGATGAACCCATATTGGTTAAATCATGATGTGAGGAAGAATTATCTACGTAGAAAAAATACTCTTGTATTCTGATTTGTTTACTGAAGAAAAGTTGTATGTTATCATACCATATTCATTGATATTGCCAAGAACGCAGGCTGAATTTGGTGATGATTCAATACCATGTTTTGTTGAATCAAAAGATATATTTTGAACAACTAATTCCATTGATTGCCATTCATTCACCTGGTTGCTGCTACCAACCATCGGTACGCTCGAATTGGTCGATTTCGTCAAGGCAATTTTTTTCATCGAAAACAAAATGTTTGTTGATACGGGAGTAGGTTTTTCAATTACCGTTGTCACATCTGATGCTACTGTGGTTAATCTTGATTTTCTGATATTGTTTTTCATCTCTTGGTACTTTGCATCAATCATTGAGGGTAACATCGTATGGAACTGTCGACAATGATCCTTCCAATTTTTCAGTAGCATTGATTTTAAACATGAAGGACAACGTATTGTACAACTAGTTGTATATACTGTTTTTGAAGCCATATTTTTAAAAAGTTTGAAAATAATCTTAAATATAAAGAAAGATATCAGATAATAAGCAAATACATTTAGAAATTAGACTAAGAGTGATACCATTTCTAGCAAAAATAGTAAATAGAAATGAGAGTTTCTGACAGAAATAGTAAATAGAAATTATAGTGTTTCTGGCAGAAATAAAAAGTAGAAACGATCGAGTTTCTGGCAGAAATAGTGTTAGCACTGGATATACAGTTTATTATCAAAAAAATGAGAAAGTGTGTGTATTGATACGATCGTGTCAAATGTTAAACAATAGTACAAAGAATATGATCACGCCAGACGTGTTGAACAATAGCACAAAGAATGATAGTCACACCAGACGTTGAGCAATAGTATAACAACGATGGTCACGCCAAATGTAGAAAAACAGACAATTGGAAGATAATATGATAGTCAAGAATCAACTCGATAACAAATAGTAAATAGAAACGAGTGTTTCTGGCAGAGATAGTAAATAGAAACGAGAGTTTCTGGCAGAATAGTAAATAGAAATGATAGTGTTTCTGGCAGAAATAAAAAGTTGAACGATCGAGTTTCTGGCAGAAATAGTAAATAGAAATTATAGTGTTTCTGGCAGAAATAAAAAG